ATTATATGCTCTTGCTTTTTGCCAGCTTTTAAAACAGCAATTGACTGCTGGCTCGCTCTTGATTCACACAGTTTTGAGATGGTGTGTTTGTTGTATAATTTGTGCAACACATATCCTCCAACATACTGCAAACCTGCCATTTCTTTATCTCAGAGCTTAATTTCAAAGTCCTTGACAGGAACAACAGACTTCTCTTTACTATACACAAGCATAACATCAGCTACTTTAGTTGATAGCAATGTGGCAGCATTTCTAGACAGTCCAGTGAAGTATTTTGTAGAATTCAATGGTACAGTGGAGTAGAACATAGTGTAGAATTTCTCCTGGTCTTTCTTTTTCATCAACTGTTTTAACATATTTTGTAATTCAGCAGATTCCTTCGATTCTTCGGATAAGTTTATGAATTGATAAGCATTAAGCTCTTCTCTGATGTCCTTGGAAAATACCTTGTTGTTAACCAAACGGCGTTTGACTTCCTCGACCATCTTTGTTAGCATTTCCTTTGTAAACTTGCTTTGTTCGCCTTTATCAGTCTCTGGATCGTCATCTTTTTCATCTTTATGCTTACAAGTAATGTGTCGTTTTAAGCCACCAACAGTTTTGCATTTCTTTGAACAGAATGGACACGAGATCTCTTCGTCTTGTACCTAGTGAAAAGAAGCGAAATTGCTTCGTTAGTAGCTGTTAATGCAGACTAGCACGCCAAAATTATATCATGAGGAGTTTACGAAACATCACTTCGTTTAAGCTTAATTCATGTTTTTCAAATGGCCATTCTTTTACTAATATTTCGAGACAAGCAGTGCGTATATAAGTTGACTTATGTTTATTATGAGGTCGAGTGTTCTGCAGTGAGGTCGATTGATCCGAGATCTTTACTGGATTTTAGAAATAAAAGCGGATTCCTCCACTCACCTCAGTCGAAAATAAACCATTTATTCCCTAAACGCAACGAAAAACTTTGACATTACATTTCATTCCGACCATCTCGACCCGAACGTCGAGCTTACGTTTTTGCAATACGTCATAGCAATACGTCATAAACTCGGACACAGTCTCCACTCACTTGGACCCAATGTCCACTCACTCAATACGCAACGCCTTACACAAATTAAAAATAAAGTAACACAGAACATAAATTTTCAGTTCGGAACATCCTCCTGCCCGATGCAGGGAGTGCATCACTACATGTAACTTGTGAACAAAGTTCAATAAAATTCAACTGAAATGTTCAGCAATGTCTCATCAAGTTCAGTTAAGTTCATCAGCTGAGTCAGCATCACAGGCTTCAAATAGGTGTAGCCGTTGTACTGGACGACGGGTAACACTTCCAGATGAGGTCCGAAGAGTAGCGGACCGGACAAGACCATCGTGGCCTGTGTGGGTGTCTTCCACTCGTGCACGTGACCACTGACCCCGAGCTACGCGATCCTCACTCACAAAGACCAAGTCACCTTTACGGATTTCACGACCAATCTTCTGCCATTTCTTGAGGGGTGTCAGGGATTTCAGATACTCTGCATGCCAACGCTTCCAAAATCCATTTACGAGCCTCTGATGATACTAAAAACGTTTGGTGTGAGGACTCTTGACGTCTGTTCTGAAACATGAGTGTGTTTAGTCAGACATGCTTGAAGATTTCTGCCAATCAGAATATGTGCAGGGGAAATCACACTGTAGTCATCAGGGTCTGCACCAAGGTAAGTAAGAGGACGACTGTTTAGCTGTGCTTCAATTTCAGCCAAAATAGTAGTTAACTTCTTGGCATCTAACATTGCTTTGGCAAATAGTTTCTTCAATGGCGTCTTGACACTCTTTATAAGTCGCTCATAAAACCCACCCCACCACGGGGCCTTCTCCACGATGAACTTCCACTAAATCTGGGTTTGGTCTGATTCCAATACTCTGCAACATTTCCGTAGCTCCTTGTTAGCAGCCTTGAAAGTTTTTGCATTATCTGACCAAATAATGCTGCACATTCCTCTTCTTGCAATCATGCGTCTCAAAGCAAGGAGAAAGCGCTCAGCCGTCATATCACACACCAACTCTAAGTGTACCGCACGGGTAACTGCACATGTAAATAAACATATGTAGACTTTATCACCACTGTCTTTCAAATACAAAAGACCAGCAAAGTCTAGACCCACATTAGTGAACGGCGGCGCAGGCTTAATTCTTTCTTCAGGAAGTGGTGCCATCCGCTGACCAAAGGGCTTTGTAAGGTAATGGCGACAAAGTAGACAGTTCCTTAGTGTCTGACGGACAGTTAATCGTCCC